TTAAGACACATGACTTATTTTCTAACCCAAATATTCCTGACTAGGTATTGACCTGGATCCTTATGTAGTTTGCACTTTGGTTGTACTATTTGTAATAAAAACGAGTTGGAAAGTGCTGATCTCTGAGCCTTGTCTGACTGTTGACCCTCTAGCCCAGCATCCTGGAGTTAATTTCTTCATTAAAACCTTTTCCCCTCACCACTAGAGGGAGGTATTGCTTCCAGTTGTTTCTTCTTTGGGAAAATGTCACTTAACCCTGGGATGTTTAAAGTGGAGAAGTTGAGGCCAAGGACAGCCTAGAGTCAGCTCTTTGTTGGTCATTTGGCAGCCAAACTGTCAGCTGGGCATTCAGCCCTGGGTTTAAATTTCAACTCTGCCACTTCCTGGCTGGCATACCTTTGCCAAGATCCCCTGCAGAGTGTTAATTTCCTCTTTGTTATAAATAATGGACATGGACAATTCCTGGGCATTGCTTAGTGGAGTGCTTCATTTATAATGGTATGGGGGTGAGGAGAGACTTCCAGATAGAACTTCCAGGGTGGAGACCCCAGAATAGCAAAGGCCACACAACTATCCCAGTGACCAAGTTCCTATCTGTTGAGAGGTCATGATGAGTATCTGTCTAGGGAGCAGACCTTTCCAAGGGTTTGGAGTGGCCAGAGGGGCAGATGTCTGGAGGAAAACAGGTGGGCAATATTCTGTTCCATTCCCTACCTTCTAAACCATGAAGCAGATTTGGGGAAGGTAGAATGGAGGACTCAAAGCTGAGTATGTAAGAGAGATCTTGGGCAATTCCAAGTTTTCAGAGTCCAAGTTTATTAAAGTATGAAATACCTAAGAAGATGGGAAAAGATGATTTAGAGACAAAAACACTTAGAAAATTAGTTTCTTGGTAAGTATATATTATAGAAGACAACCAGGTTCCCTGGTCAGACTGTTGTCTGCCACCAGAGGGCAACCATACAGTCAGATCTCAAAGACCCCCTTGCCCATGATGCTGGCACTCTTTGAGAAAGAACACAGCTGCACACACAATTAGCGCCAGGCTTGGCTGAGAACCAAAGCCAGAGTCAGAGAAGAGCATAGAAAAGGAGGTGTGTGTGTGGGGGGGTCTGTTGCCTTGGGAGATCTGCCCCAGGAGCCAAGGAAGATGACCTGACCTCAAACAGCTCAGGAAGTGGACTTCTTAGGCTTTGTGATTCAGGTATGACTGAATGTTCCCTAGCTAGGGCAGGGAGGCTGCCCAAGCAAACCACATATCAAAGTAGTTTAGTTGCAAAAATGCTTACAAGGGAGTCTATCCTCCAAATAAAAGATATACAATACCCATTTAAAGGGGAAACCTCCACAAGATTGTTAAGATTAAAAATTTGCAGTTAGCTGGGTGTGATGGCGCACACCTGTAATCCCAGGAGGATTACACTGTGTGTAGTCTACTGTGGAGGYTGAGGCAGGAAGATAACAAGTTAGAGGCCAGTCGGGGCAACTTGGTGAGAACCTATCTCAAAATAATGAAAAAAGGGCTAGCTCAGCAGTAGAGTTAAAAAAAAAAAGTTTGCAGCTAGTCTGTTTTTTTTTTTGTGTGTGTGTGTGTGTGGAAAATAGCAATTTTCAATTTTTCTCACATGACTACTATGAGAAAGGACAAAATTAAATTAACCTTATTTTCTTTTCAAATTTATGTTTTTATTGTTTGTTATTACTTATTTAAACTTTGGGTTTTCATTTCCTTGAAAAGTGGAAGAAAGAGAGGTTTGATGTGATGGGAGGAGGCTCTAGGACTCACTCCTTTTATTCTGTCTTTTCCTTAAAGATCCTTTAGAGAGCCTCCACTGTGGGTCAGATGGATGTGTCCTACTGCAGTTCTGACAGCTGTCCAGGAGAAAACCATTCCAATTCTTTAACCCGTTCACATATCATGTCATGCCACCATTGTTTGAAGAAGGAAAGAGAGCTGAATGTCCTGTAGTTCCAGGCTGAGGCAGGAGGATTACAAATTCAATGCCAGCATCAGCAACTGAGGTACACCCTCTATAAAAGGCCCCTGTTCCTGCTGATGGGCAGAATCACAGCCTTTGGGACAGGAGTCCCCTGTGTTTCTCCTTTGTTAGGAAACAATAAACCTTCTTTTTCCTTCTTCTCAAAACTGTGTCCTCATTATTGGATTGACATTGGGGATAAGGACTGAGTTTTGGCAACAGGAAGAAGAATGGGGGGGGGAGTACCCCCCTAAAAAAAAAAACAAACCAGCAAAGCAAAAGTGAAGTGAGGGAGGGAGGAGTAGAAGGAGGGAGGGAGGGAGGGGTAGAAGAAGGGAAGGAGGGAGGGGTAGAAGAAGGGAAGGAGGGAGGAAGAGGAAGAAAGTAAAAGAAAAAGGAAGAGAGAAAGAGGTACAATTAATTTTAAAGACTTCAACTGGCCTGCTTTCTTGAACCCAGGACCTCACATATGCTAGGCTTTATTTTGGATTCCAGAATTGAGCAACACTTCATTCCACAGAATAGAATAAGTGCTGCAATAAATAGAACAAAAGAGTTTGGTTTTATAAATAAAAAAGGGAAAAAGAAACCAGAAACAAAAAGGCAGATTGGTCTTTTCAAAATTAATTTTCTTATAAGGTGGGGACAAGGAGACAGAAAATAGAAAAGTAACCGATGGGCTAACATAGGTTACTTTAGGTGACCTTTTTGTGTGTGTGTAAAGACTAAGCCAGGGAGCTTTGTTATCAAGCCTGTTGACATTGGCCTGTTTGGGAACTCTGGTGGTTATCTCTCTAATCCTAACCTCTCATAAAGTCAGAGAAGCAGTTTAATTTCAGCCAGGCAAGATGGTGCACACCTGTAATCTCAGCGAATTGGAGGACCAAGCTTCAGCAATTTAGTGAGACTCTGTCTCAAAATCAAAAATCAAAAGGACTGAAGGAGGTAGCTCAATGGTAAAGTACCCCTGGGTTCAATCCCCACTACCAAAAAAAAAAAAAAAAAAAAAGTTTAATTTCGTTTGAATTGAGCTTTAGCATGAGAATAATTTCATTTTCAATTTTAACCTGGTATGTTGTGTCCTACCAGAGGAGTTTAGGCTAAAACAATAGTCTTCTGTAATTTTTAACATTAGTATCAGCTAAGGTCATGAAATAGCTTTAGGCACTGGTACAATAAAAATCTGGGATAAAGTTGTTTTAATCAGTCAGTAACTTCCCTGAAAGGGAAGTTTTCATGTATTTGTGGATAAGAATTGAGGAGACTCTGACATGCTTTGTCCTACTGCTATGGCCCTTCACACCTCTCCTTCAGGAGATACAAGACAAAGCCACCAGGATTTGAAAGGCCTAGTCTGACCAACCGCCTTTCCCACCAAACAAGGTTAAGATTAAAGAGATTAGGGCAGAATCTGACCCTGAGGGTAGGGCAAGGCAGGGGATTGGGAGATGTGGGCGAGTGGTGAGTAGTCGGTGGAAGCTGTGTTTTCCCTTCTGACTATGAGATGTGATGTGTGGTGGAGAATGGTAAGGTGTCAACTTTGCTATCAGAGAGGTTAAAAATATATGGTGTATTTAAAAGTTCCAAATTAACACTTTTAGCACACCCCCCCAAAACCATAATGCAGTGTAATTGTGATATTCACAAGCTAAATTACATAGTTATAGAAGACCTTAATTTCTGGTGCACATAAGTGCTCTAGTCTGGTAATCAAATTTAAAGTTAGGTGGCTCAGGCCATAATCCCAGCAGTGCAGCAGGATCACAAGTTCAAAGCCAGCCTCAGCAACTGAGTGTGGCTATAAGCCAACTAGCAGACCCTGTCTCAAAATGAAAAATAAAAAGGGCTGGGGATGTGGCTCAGTGGTTAAGTGCCTTTGGATTCAATCCCTGATTGTGTGTGTGTGTGTGTGTGTGTGTGTGTGTGTGTGTTGGGGGAGTGAATAAAGCTTGTTGGTCCTGTCAGATGCCTGGCAAAGGTCAAATGCTGAAATCTTTAAGAGTTGCTCCCTCCCATCCCTCATTGCCTTTATGAGATGACTTTTTTTTCTTTTCGGTACTGGAGATTGAACCCAGTGGTGCTTTACACTCAACTACACCATCGACCCTTTTTATTTTTTGAGATAGGGTCTAGCTGAATTGCTTAAGGCCTGGCTAAGCTGCTGAGGCTGACCTCAAACTTTTAATCTTCCTATCTCAGCCTCCCCAGTTGCAGTGATTACAGGTGAGCACCACCCCACCCAGCTAACAGATGAGCTTTGATGGCGAGCTTTGGACCTTGGATAGAGTTTGGGAAGATTTTTCCAATTTATTTCACTTCCTTTACTTTGTTTCTTTGTCCTATCTGTAACCTTCAGGGAAAGAGATGTCCTCTTACAGGAAGCTACACCTAAGCAAATACCTCTAAGTTTCGTTAGGGTAAAAGACAAACAATATTAGAACCACCTGACCTTCCTTTATAATTCTAACAAAACTGTTTTGTTTTGTTTTTTAAAGCAAGCAAGAAGTAGGTTTATTGCAAAGGTGAGAGAGATACACAGACTTCTCTGAAGAGAAAGGACCCCATAGCTGGAAATCCGGTGAGGAACATAACTGTTTTTGGAAAAGCATATGCTCACTTAATAATTGAGGTGACTTCTCATCTCTTCCAACCTCAGCTTCACCTCTGTATGGAAAACAAAACAAAACAAACAAAACAAAAAAACCCCAAAAAACAAAACAGGATGAAAAGAGCTGGTACTTGGCAGCCCTTTCTGAGTCTTGTGGGCTTGGATTTGAGAGTGTTTTTACTATACTGTCTCCATTCTCCTTTAGCCTTTTTTGGACCCAGGCACTGAACAGGCGCTGAGAAATGGTGGGTAAGCATGACTTCTCCTTGGAAGTGGGTGGATTTCACTTTAGGACCTGTGGCTCCTATCCTGCAGGGCTTCTAAGGACTTGGGGCCTCCGCATCTTGGACTACAACTCCCAGTATAGCTTGAGCGCCCCGGGTCAAATCTCGCGTGAACTGCCGCGGGTTCAGAAGGCTTCAACATCAAGGCTGCCGGTTCGCACCGCCGCTTGTGCTCTCTAGTCGGTGGTKCGAGCAGTCGAATTTGCCGCCGCTCCCACGATGGCTTGGGTCTGGACTGCGCCACAATCTCTTGAGAGAAGTGGGTCTTCGGATCCTCTTTAGTGCCGGAGTTGGGGACACAGGCAGCTTGGACACAGCGGGATAACAGGTGATCAAATAGCGGGCCTCGGGGCTCCTTGGAGGTGTCTTCTAGCCCTCGGGAGGGGCGCGCTTCCGGCCTCACCGTGCTTCCCAGTTTACCCGGCTCTGGACTCTGCGGGACCGCCCCTGTTTCAGCCTTCTAGTCGTCCACGGCCTCTCTAATGGGGCTTCTCTGGCAGAGCCTGTGGAGCCCCGACACTGAGCCTCTCTCCTGGCGGACCCACCCAGTCCCGGATCCCCTCCCGCCTCGCTTCGCCCGACGGCTCGCCAACATGTCCCAGTCCCTTGCCTTGCCCTATCCTCGGCGTCAAATTCTGCCCTAATCTCTTTAATCTTAACCTCGTTTGGTGGGAAAGGCGGTTGGTCAGACTAGGCCTTTCAAATCCTGGTGGCTTTGTCTTGTATCTCGTCCTGGAGAGGCGTGAAGGGCGATAGCGGTGGGACAGGGGAGCGGAGAAAGGGGAAGGGAGTGTTTCTGGGTCGGGAATGCCCTGTCGACCGGGAAGATGGTTGAACTTTGGGTTTTGTGGTGCTCTTTAGTGAAGAACTAACTGGTTTGCTCTCTCAACTCTCTCCGGTTTCAGGGACACAGTAGCAAGTGGAAAAGCATATAACTTGACTTTTTCAGGCCCTTGTCTTAATTCCCCTGTAAAATGGGGTTGAAACTGGCTGCCTTGCAGAGGGGTCACTTGTCTGTCACCTTGGACAAAAATTTGATAAGTAATAACTGCTTTGCATGGTGGCTGCAAGGTTTAAAAGCAAAATAAAACCCTATAAGTATTAGTTGGTGTTAGTAATAAAGAGAGAATTTACCTACTATGGTACTTAGCCCCTTACTGTGAGTCAGAATGAAAATGAATAGAATTACTCTTACAAGGCCCTAATGAGGAATAAGTGAATGTATGGAAAAGTATCAATGCTGGCTGTTTGTTGTTATTAGAATCTCTGGATGGACTCTTCCTGGGAAGCTTTGCTAATTTGCAGCACCTGGACAATGTTCCTCATTAATACCTGTCTGTCAGCGTAGTGGTGACATCATTTCACTGTGGTAGGTGTCTTTTTCACCTATTGTCTTAGTTTTGTCATCTCACAGATGATAAGATCACCCTTTGATATTATTCTTTTTCTCTTCCCATTGGCATGTTTGTCACCTATTGACTTTTGTATGTGTGTTTCAACCTTGTTAGCAGCAGTAAGTCTCTGTGTACCTATCAGAAGAACAACATTTGGAAGGAAGGGTTCTTTGGTGTTCAATATGAGAAAATGCCCTTTGTTATTTTTATTAGGTGGCAGGGACTCAGCTCTGAATTATAAATTGAAAAAACACCTGGATCCCAGTCTATCAATGGCTTCAAGACAACCAGAAGTACCTGGTAAACATAATTCTTTTTGGTTATGTTTTGCCCTTAATGTTTTCAGCTAGACAGTTTAATCTGAACCATGTATTAATGGTTACTTTCTGCCATCAGTCAATCATTTAGACTTAATAGATTGATGTAATTTAGATATTACCTTATTGACCATGGTATGCTCCCCAAACTAAACTTAAGGTATGTCAGATATGTTACTTTGTATGAAATACAGTTGTGTAGTTTTTGTATTATAGAATGTACCAGAGTGATTAAACTCATCCTCTTTTTTGGGATGAGGGTTGGGGACAGAATGGAGAACTGAACAAAAAGACACTACTAGCCTGGTTTAATGGTGAATTGAGCTTATTTGTGAAAATGTTTGCAGAGCACTTTTTTTTTGTTCTAGGGGTTGAACCCAGGAACACTTAACCACTGAGCCACATCCCCAGCTCTTTTTAAAATTTTGAGACAGGGTCTCATTAAGTTGCTGAGGCTGGCTTGAACTTTAGATCCTCCTGCCTTAGCCTTCCTAGTCACTGGGATTACAGATGTGCACCACCATTCCCAGCTTGCAGCACCTTTTAATGTGTTCTGCATCTGAGTAGGGCAGTGATTTCTGGGTTATTGAAGTGACTAATTCCTTCTTGACTGCTGTATTAGAAGAGAAGGTGATTTTTAATTAAATCTGAATTACTCAATTTCTCATTCTCAGTAAAGTATATAAATGGTGATGTCTATCTTTCAGGATTGTTAAGAAGACTAAATATCATTTTTGAAAATATGAATTAAAAGTTGGTGCTGTCCTTGAGCCTCCTGCTCTTGCTCAGCCCACTCTGCTCTATCTTGCGGGGTGCTCCTTCCACATTTACCTTCAATAAATCTGTACTTTGCCTGTTAAAAGGAAAGGAAAGTTGGTGCTAAATATACATTTTCTGTCCAGAAAAATTTCTTGTCTCTTTTTAGGGGAATATATTTCCTAGAAGTTTTATCTGACTTCATCATTATTTTTATAAAGGCTACTGGTAGGCTACTCTTACAGATTTTTTGAAATTGCTCCCAAATCAGTTGAATTAATAAAAGTTTCCCATATGTCCTCTAATCTAGATCTGTCTTTAGTCTCTTAGCATCATCTGCTTGTATGTTAGTCTTTCATTGTTGCTGCAGTTATCATCAACTCCTGTCAGCATCCCGAGCTATACTGTTGCACTAATTAGGCTAATGTTTTTTAGTGTGGGGAGCATGGCATGTTGGGTCTAGAGTGTGAGCCCTGGTTTAGATCTCTTTCACACTTGTAGCTGGGTGATGTTGGGCAAGCCTAAGCTCTGTGCCTCAGTTTCCTGAGCTGGAAAATGGGAAGAATGAGGGTTAGATAAGATGAGGGATGTGAATGCCTAATAATTATTTGCTTGTGTGTTTGAGACAATGTAAATGCCATAAAATTCACCCACTTAAAATGATCAGTTTAATGGTTTTTAGTATACTCACAAGATTGTATGATGATCAGCATTATTCTAATGTAGAACGTTTTCATTACCCCAAAAAGAAACCTTATACCCATTAGTGTCATACCTCATTGCCTCTTCTCCCCAGCCCCTGGCAATTAATAATCTTCTTGGATTTATTAAATCCTGTGGAATTATTATTTCAGTACTGGGGATTGAATGTGGGGATGCTGTACCACTGAACTATATTCCCACCCCTTTTTATTTTTTATTTTGAGATAGGGTCTCACCAAGTTGCTATGGCTGCTCTTGAGTTTGAGATTCTGTTGCCTTAGTTTCCCAAGTTGCTGGGATTATAGGCATGTGCCACAGTGCCTGGCTTTAGTAATTATTATTGTTAGTAATAAAATGGTAGCTGCTTGATCTCTTTGTTGTTTAAGTTAAGCCACTTTTGGTGGTTTAGAACTTATACCCAGGCAGGTTGATGTCTTAGAGTTTGTGGTTATGTAATTTTAGCCACAGGAAAATGTCACCTTGAAGGCAGGTTCTGGACTTTAGTTCCGATATGAAAGGATTAGCAAACCAAATGAAATGAACCTTGCTCCCTGGTCTGGCACAGCTGAGAATGCCTTTGGAGTGGGTCACCTGTGTCATAGTACATTCAGCAGTCAGTTCCAGGGAACAGGAATGGCAGGATCAGCTGGCAGTGTTTTGGAAGAGTGATTGTCAGCAGTTTCTGTGATGCTGCTGTTTAAATCATACAGACGTTTGAAACTAGAGATGATGCCAAACAACATACTGTTATTTCTTGCTATGCTATTTTTTTTTTTTTTTTGGTAAGATAGGGAAGACAGAGAGTTTACAGTCAGACCTTGGTCAGGCCCAGCTAGCCATTTCCTGTATGAACTTGGATGAATAACTTCATCTCTAGGGCATAGTTTCCTCATCTATAAAATAAGAACAAGAACTTCATATCCTAGGTCTTTTGTGTCCTCAGTCTTGCGTGAGTTGAGAGCCTTTAGCATTGCAGTGAGGGTGGCCTCTGTGCATAAAGAAAGCAAACTTTGAAGTAAGATAGTTAAATTCAGTTTTAATTCTGTGCTTTGAAGTTGTGACATTGCCACAGTAAATTTAAACTGATTTTCAAGTTCCTTATGATATAAAAATGGATTAGGGTTATTTATAAAAATGGATTAGGGTTACAGAGTGCATTAGTGGAGAATCCAAAGTGTCAGGAATGAAGGAAGAAATTAGTTCTGTTACCTTTCCTTAAATGTATTATTATTCCAGAACAAGGTATTCTTGTTCTGTCCCCAAATAAGAGTGTTTTGGAAGCTGGGTGTGGTGACACATGCTATTTGGGAGATTAAGGCAGGAGGATCAGAGATTTGAGGCCAGCCTGGGCAACTTACCGAGACTCTTGCAATAAAAAAAAAAAAACAACGCCTGGAATGTACTTAGTGGTAGAGTGTTTGCCTACATTAAGTGAGGCTCTGTGTTTAAAACCCAGTATATCCCCCACACCCCCATAAAAAAGAGAAAAACGAAAAGTTTCAGAGCTTTCCTTCCTATAGGTTAATTTAAAGCTGCTAGTATGCTCAGTTGTTAAACCCATCTTGACTGGTATCTCTGTTCTTAGCTCTTGGGCCTAGTGGGCCCCTAGGCAAGATGTCCCTGCCCATCGGGATGTGCCGTAGGGCATTCAGCTATGATGATGCCCTTGAGGACCCTGCACCCATGACTCCTCCTCCATCGGACATGGGCAGCATCCCCTGGAAGCCAGTGATTCCAGAGCGCAAGTATCAGCACCTTGCCAAGGTACCTGACCCTGCTGGCTGCTTCTGGCAAACCTAAACTCTTTGTTTTTCTCCCTCTATTCCAGAAGCCTTCCAGTGACTTCTTGTACCCATAGAATTGGGCAGCCATTATTCCTTGTGTGTTTTCTATGCCTTAGCTGGAGTTGATGTATCTTTTTATTTTTTTAACTTAAAAGTAGAATGTTGTGTCATCTACCTGAGACTCTTCTGTAACCCCCTTCCCCCATTAAAAATCCAGACTCACACATGCCTCTTCCCAACTTCCCTACCCAGTGACCCAATCATGCATGTTATCTGAGATTTCTTGCACTTAATTGGGTATTTTATGCTTCTGAGTCTTTGCTTCACATGTTCCTATAGCTTAGATGTTTAGCATCTCCATCCTGTTCTCATATCCCCCACACTCCATTTGCCTAACAAATAGTATCCTTTAGGTCTTTGCATAAACATCTCTTTTATAATATTTTTCTGATATCTCCTTCTTCCTGATAAGACTGTTACCTTTCCCTTTGAACTCTTCAGTGTACCATGATCCCTATCATAATATCTGTATTGTTTTGTCACCCTCCATTAGCTTTTTGAGGCCAGGGTCCATATCTGAGTTTGTATGGGTTGAGTGCATCTTATTCCAAATGCTTGGGAACAGAAATGTTTCAGATTTCACATTTTTTGAATTTTGGAATATTTGCGTACATGCAATGAAATACTTTGGAGATGGGACCCAAATCTAAACACACAAATTATGTTTCATATATACCTGTCCATATAGGCTGAAGGTAATTTTATTTATATATATATATTATAATAGAAACAAAGTTTCAAAGTGTGGAACTTTCCAGTTGTGGCATCATGTCAGTGCTCTAAAAATTTCAGATTTTGGAGCATTTGGGAATTCATATTTTTGGATTAAGGAGACACAACTTTTATTCCATCTTCAGTATTTAGCAGCAGGCTTGGTGTAAAGTAGATTCCCCCAAATTATGCATACTGTAATTGGAGGAAAATTGGCTTTCTTGAACATATGCTGTATTTTTCTTTGTGCTCTTCCTCCTGCCTCAAGTGCCTTTTCTATTGCTGTAGAGCTGCCTTCTTCCTAAGGCAGCTTGTTCTGTTGTCACAGCCCTTCTGTGCAGTTGGGTCTCATAGGTTTTTGTGTGTTTGTTGCAATTGTGCTTCTGAAGCTTATGCTTCCTGGCTTCTCACCTCTGATTCCCCAACACCAAGAATATAGGAAAGGTTATATTGTTTCTTGAAAAAACTAGGCCTGCCAGATTCTCAGATAAGGTCATATAGCTACAGCTAGTTTCATCAAATTGTGAGCCATCTGATCGCCTGGGCCTGATAGGAAATATACAGCTTAAACAGACCTGTGCACACAACTTTACCCCAAACCACAGTTTTCCATCTAAGAGATGGAAATACTTTGTCATAGAGGAAATATGGGGATTAAATAAAAAAGGATTTAGAGGTTTGGCACATGGTAGCTATATGACTACTGGCTTCCAGCCTTTCACTTGGTTCAGCCATATTTGATGCTTTCTTTCTAATAAGCTGTGTTTGTTTTTCTTCTTCCATTTCATAATGGGGAGCTCCTTTCTAAGAAAACCTCTCTGTACCTCAGGGGAAAACTACTTGTATCAATTATCTAGTGGAATTTGACTGAATTGGTTGTTTAGGAGGGAATGTTCTATGTAAAAAGTAGTGGAGGTACTAGGAGAAGGGGACCCTGGCAGCCTGCGGATGATGCCGAAATAGTAGACTCCAGGGACTAGGGTAGAAGATAAGCAGGGTTGGGAGTGCCTTTGAGAGCAGCACACCATTTTCATTAGTAAAGGCTGCTGAGTACTTCACAAGACACAGAATGGGCTTCTAGTGTTCAGTTGTGCCACAGCTGGGACAGCTGGTGATTTGGAACAACTGCTCATTACACGCATTCTTTATCTGCCCAATTATCTATATATTAGGAGCCATCCATCTTCCAAATAAGAAAACAGGTTCAAGTTTTACTCTAATAAGATCCTAGCTAATAAGTATAAATCCTGTTTTGTAATAGTGATACGATATTTGAGTACTCTCTTCTGCAGCCCTCCTGTTGAGCCATCTCTTTTTTTCAGTTCCTTTGGAAAAGCAGAGAACAAAGAATAAACCTAATTCTCTTTTCCTTACTTACTAGGACTCGGCATGGTGTCACATGTTTAGATTATAAAAGATGGATGCTCTTACACATTATAGTAGAAGCTACATAGGGTTTTTATTTTTTAAAAATTTTTTTAGTTGTCAATGGACTTTATTTTGTTTATTTCTATGTGGTGCTGAGAATTGAACCCAGTGCCTCACACATTCAAGGCAAGCGCTCTACCACTGAGCCACAACCCCAGCCCTTGTTAGTTTTTTTTTTTTCCCCAAATATTTTTTAGTTGTAGATGGACACAATACCTTATTTATTTATTTATTTTTTATGTGTTGCTGAGGATTAAACCCAGTGCCTTCCATGTACTAGGTAAGTGCTCTACCACTGAGCCACAACCCAGCCCCAAGTTTTGATACTGGGCGGTGCTTTACCACTGAGCTACATTCCCTGCCCCTTTATTTTTTATTTTGAGACAAAGTCTTAATAAGTTGCTTAGAGCCTCGCTAAGTTGCTGAGGCTGGTCTTGAACTTGTAATCTTTCTGTCTCAGTCTCCCTATTTGCTGGGATTACTGGTGGCATCTCTGTGTCTGGCCTGATTTTTATTAGTTTTTAAAGACCATTATTTGAACCTTTAGAACACTGGTCCTCAAACAAATCTTGGCATCACATGGAAATTTGTTAGAAATATAAGTTATGTATTTGTTTATTTTGGTGGTGCTAGAGATTGAACCCAGGGCCTCACACATGCTAGGCAAGAGCTTTACCATCGAGCTACACCTTGAACCCTACACTTAAGTTCTGGAGTCCTGCCCTAGACTTACTGAATCAGAAACCCTTGGGTGGGTTCAGCAGTGTGTTTAAAGAATCTCTGCAGGCGGTTCTGATGTTCCACAAAGCTTATGAGCTACTTAGCAAATGCTCTGATTAATCTAGCCTAGTGCTTGGTATTTGGTACTTGTTTAGTACTTGTAACAGTACAGATTTTCTTTTTTTTTTTTTTGTACTGGGGGATCAAACCCAGTCCTTGCACATGATGTACATGCTAGGCAAGCATGCTACCCCCGAGCTATATCCCCAGACCCTTTTCTTCTGCTTTCTTATTGGCATAGTACTAAAGTGTATTGGACAGACATAGGCAGGAAAGGTAGTAGACCTCAGAACTTCAAATTCTGGTTTTCCTTTTAGGAATTTCTTCACTTATCAGATTTAAGATACTTAAGTAACTTCTTCCTATAGGAGTAAGTTTAGGTGTGTGACTCCCCTGCCCTGCTTAAGTGCATCCTTACCTCTCTTGAACAGGAGGAGGAAGGAGAGGCCAGTGTATCCCACCCTGCCATGACCCTGTCAACGGTCACTGACAGTACGGACAAGGTCCCGGTGGTGAAGGCCAAAGCTACCCATGTCATCATGAATTCTCTGATCACAAGTAAGCACCCTTTATTCTCAAGAGTAGAGTGAAGCAGGGGTGGGGAAGAGTGTCAGCCTCTTAAAAAGCAGCTGCAGATGATTCTGTAGACAGGCCTGTCTCAGCATGTCCAAATATATTTTGGCTGCTGAATCCCAGTGTTGAAGCTTCATTTTGTTGGAAGATTTGACAAACATTAAACATCTCAGTTGATTTAGGTGCATTTCTGTTGTTTTGTTGATATATTCTCATTTCTCATGTTGGTCATTGTGATCTTGGGCAAGTTACTTAACTATAGAGACTGTTTTGTAAAATGGTGAATCTAGCTGGCAGGTTGAAGTGAGGATTAAATGGTTCAGTGCTTTGGGGCTACTGCTGTTACTGTCCTAAGCTCTGCTGGAGAAGCAGTATAAGGAAGCATTTTTCTATTTTCTTGCATTTTTATTTTTTCTTTTTAACTGAACAGCTCAAAGTTGATTTCCCAGGAAGAGAAGGACCAGGTGTGGTGCCTCAAGGATATTTAGTCTTTAAGAATGTGTGATTGGTGGTCCTAGTGAGACCTGCCATAGGAAGCTTGCATTTTAAAAAATACCTTACAAGTTAACTAAAGTTTGTTTGGGAGGGCTGTTCTAGTTGCTCTGGAAAGTTAATTATTAGATACATAGCTCTGCTTGTCAACAGTAATGCCTCTATCAGTGGTAAGGTACGTAGAGGTTCTTGCTTGGGTGGCTCATTTTTGAAGCCCTTGTTTCTCCAGGAGTTTGTCTTGATCATTTCCCAGAGAGTTCACCCACGAACCCAAAGTTCAAACTCTCACTTTGGTTTTCTTCTCTTCACTCATAAATGTATCACTTGAATCAGCAACTGCTGCTTGCATTTTGCAAGCTTCAGGCTATATATATTGTAGTGGTGTTAGAAAGCTTAGCTATTGTTTTTTTAGTATAGAGCAACTTCTTTATTAAAAAAATGCAGTTTACCAACATGCAGACTATTGACACTTTAGTATACTAATGTCACTTGTATTTATTTGGCATATTTACCAAAAAATGGATATTTTATATAAGTGCAGATATAGTAGACATACCATTCTTTTTTTTTCCCCCTCCAATAATACTGCCAGGTACTTTTGATGTTGCCATAGTCTTTAATTTTTTTTTCCTCTATTAGTAATGGAAGTACTTCTTTAGGAGAGGAATGACTAAGTCAGAAAGTGCATCTAGACTCTTTGATTCACAGTTGCCAAATTCTTATATGTAGGAGTACTATTAGGTAACTTGTGTACGGATTAAGCAAAAATTCAGCCATCTTTCATTCCAAAGTGGAATAGACTTTTTTTAAAAATTTTTTTTAGTTGTCATTGGACCTTTATTTTATTTATCTGTATATGGTGCTGAGAATCGAACCCAGTGCTCACACATGCTAGGCAAGCGCTCTACCACTGAGCCACAACCCCAACCCATGACTGACTTGTGAAGTCATAGGTCAGACTGAAAGAATGTTGAGGGCTCCCTGCACAAGGCATGGTAAACAGGCCATCTTACACAGAAGAAACTTGTGATTCAGTAGATCTGCTAGTTCAAGGCAGGTTGTCTGTGGTTTGAATCAGGCTGGTCCTCGATGCCAGTGGGCTTGAATATGACCTTTTTCTTTTGGCAAAGGTTTTTGTATGGTTGAAGAGGGGGTGAGTTTCTCTTAGAAAATTTTGTGTTTGGAGAATTTTTTTACTGTGTCTGGATGTCAGCTGGCATCTCCAAGCAGCATTTCTAAACACAAAGAGGTTGTTATGTGTACAAGTAAGAGCAAGGTAAGTTCTTTAGCTGTCCTTTTAGGAATAATCTCTTCTTTGGCGTGGTGTGAGGGAAGGGAACTTTTGTGGGAGGTTCAGAATTCCACTTGCAATGCTTACCTGGGGAATCCTCCTCCTTGGGTGGTCAGTGTCGTCTCTTGTTGGTTTGTGATGGGTTGTGTAATGGGCTTGATGGTCTGCTTCTCTTTTCTCAGAACAGACGCAGGAGAGCATTCAACGTTTTGAACAACAGGCAGGACTGAGAGATGCTGGCTACACACCCCACAAGGGCCTTACCACCGAGGAAACCAAGTACCTCCGAGTAGCAGAAGCACTCCACGTAAGCTTATTTCTTTGGAACTTTCAAAAAACAAAGCCTTTATCTTTCATGGCTTGACATATGACTGTGTTTAGAAGTTACTAGCTCAGCTAGCTGGTGGCTGTGGAAAGTGGTGGAAAGAGAACTGGGTAAAGGAATTTAGAAGTGGTAAGTCCCATCTGTGGTGGCACTCCTGGATGAAGGCTCGGGAGTGTTTGGCCTTGTGGCTTCTGTTTTCTCATCTGTAAATTGAGGGTTCTGTTTTGTTTATTTCTGGCTAGAAGGATCAAATGAGTGTCATCTCGCATACTTGATACGTGGGTACTCTGAACTGAAAAGCAAATGTGGATTATTTTTCTGCCAGGAATTGACTGAGGGAGGGGGAATTGGGCAGTCTCAATAGACTTAAGTTTAGCTGGAAAACAGCATCATGCTCTGTATTTATTTATTTATTTATTTATTTATTTTGGTACCAGGTATTGAACCCAGGGGCATTTAACTACTTAGCCACATCCCCAGCCCTTTTAAAATTTTATTTAGAGACAGGGTCTTGCTAAGTTGCTGAGTGCCTTGCCTAATTGCTGAGGCTGGCTTTGAATATATATGTGTGTGTGTGTGTGTGTGTATATATATAATGTGTATATATATTTAAAAAATTTTTTAATTGTAGTTGGACACAATTTTATTCTATTTATTTATTTTTATGTAGTGCTGAGGATGGAACCCAGTCCCTCACGTTTGCTAGGTGAGCGTTCTACTGCTAAGCCACCACCCCAGCCTCATGAATATATTTATATTATTGGTACTAGGGATTGAACCCAGGAGTATTTAGCCGCTGAGCCACATTCCCAGTCCTCTTTTTAAAATTTTGGGATGGGGTCTGGCTAAGTTGCTGAGGTTGGCCTCAAACTTGGCAATCCCTCTGCCTCAGCCTCCAAATTGATGGGATTATAGGAGTGTGTCACCATGCCCAGTTTAAACATTTTAAAGAATAACAATGTTTCAACTGACTTGAATACCACTTTATATGAATGGTGCTTTATGATTTAGGACCTCATAAATTCACTTAATCTTCATATTAATGCCTTGAGGTACATACTGTTTTCTATATTTTTTAAATGGAGAGAATGGCATCCAAGGGCATATATTTAGCCACATTATGAAATCAGCGTCTCCCAATTCCCTATATCCTTCTCAACCCCTCCACAAAGTAGTCTGAGAATCTGCCACTCAAAGGGGCTTAGATTCTCCTCTGAAGGAAAAAGGCAGAGGTGACTCAAAGGACACAAATACAGCTAAGAAACTGGACTGTTTTCTGTAGGCAAGGGTGGGTCATAGTCTGATCATGTTGTAAGTTTTATTTTAAAGAGTTCTGAGCTGGGCGCAGTGATGCACACCTGTAATCTCAGTGACTTGGAGGTTGAGGCAGGAGGATTGCAAGTTGAAAGCCATCCTCAGTAATTTAGTGAGCCCCTATCTCAAATAAAGGAGGGCAGGAGGCTGAGGCTGATGGATTGCAGGTTCGAGGCAAGCCTTAGCAACTTAAGCCATTAGCAACCTAGCAAGACTGGAAGTGAAAAATTAAAAAGGGCTGAGGATGTAGTTCAGAGGTAAAGCACCCCTGAGCTCAATTCCTAGTCCAAAAATAAACAAATAAAAATGGGATGGGTAGGTTGGGGATGTGGCTTAGTGTTTTAAGCGCCCCTGGGTTTACAATCCCTGGTACCAAAAAAAAAAAAAAAGGTTCTGAGTAGGAAGTGATAAAGATTATAGATAATAAGTATTCCCCAGAAGCTCACGGGAGAGACAATGGAAGAACATTCAGAAGTGAAATGATTGGGCTATAAGCTCTTTAACCTAATCAGTGAATTAATCCTGTGGTGGGGATTAACTGGGTGGTAGCTAAAGTTGGGTAGGGTGTGGCTGGAGGTTGGCATTGGGGGGGCGTGCCTTTGGGGTATATTTTGTATCTGGCAGGTGGAACCTCTGCTTTCTGATCATCTTGTGAGCCACTTCCTTCTGCCACATTCTTCCATGATATTCTCCCTTATCAAGCCCTGAGGAATGGAGCTGGCTATCTGGACTAAAACCTCTGAACTCTTAAGTCCCCCAAATAGACTTTTCATCCTCTAATTGTTCTTGTCAGGTCTTTTGGTCACAGCAGCAAAAAAGCTGACTAAAACATGGCTTTTGGGCATAGGAGAGAACAAAAGGAGGGAAGGATCATGATGTACAGTATATGGAAGGGGGAATAATGTGCATCTGGGGGCCTGTGGGTAGGGATATGAGACTCTGTAGACTGGTTGCATTGTATGAGTATTACAGATGACTCTTTTGTAGCCTGTTTAAAAAGCAGTGATATGGGGGATCAGTGATGGGCTGGTGGCCAGTTTAAGCTTTTAGGCAAGAAAGATACTTTCAGAGAGGTACACTGTCAGTTTTTAATACTTGAGTACCTTTATCTGAGCAATTCACTCATGTGATCGTAGAATTGGCTTTGTTTGGCCCATTTTCTGCATCCTGGCTGTAGGAATAGAACATGAGGATGGCTGAAATGTTAGATTTAACTAGCATCATCTTATAATTATTTGTTGATTTAAACAAATTGATTTGTTGAGAAAACTGAAGAGTGATCATTTGTTTAGAATGTACCTTGGATGGAGCAGTGGCATACTGTGCTTGGAGGACAGGCACTATGGGAGCCTTGACTTAGAATTCTAGAAGTATGAAGTAGATTTATCCCCACCCACTACTACCCACTGCACTGCTAGTCTGCTGGAGAAACATTTACAGTGCTGAGGGAACCTAAAGTAGCTGTTGATGGAGAGGAAGGAGAATGGGGTAGGATCCTCAGAGGAAGCATTTAGTTAAAGAACAGCAAACCTGATGCTTGTTTTTGAGAGTCAGAATGCTTAGGGGCTGTATGTGGTAGGAGATGTAGAGAGAGAAGAGCTCAAGGTGCTGTTTATAAGGCCAAGAATACAGCTGGATGTTGGCTCTCCCATTTACTGGTTGGGTGCATGTGGGAAGATTATTTTCCTGAAAGTAAAAGCTTTCAGTACAGGGATGTTTGAGATCTGTTATAGAATGAGTGCATGGAAAGATGGAATTTCATTCAGTATGGCAAAATCAAAATCATTCTGCCTATGCCGTGTTTTTCTTGTGCCTTAAGTTAACATAAAACAAATGGTTTATGCTCAGACAACTATTTTATGGCTATTTTGGTTTGTACTCAATTTTGACAAAACCTCTCTTCTTACCCATCTGGACAGAAACTAAAGCTGCAGAGTGGAGAGATAACAAAGGAAGAGAAGCAGCCTGCGTCAGCCCAGTCTACCCCAAGCAGCAGCCCTCACTCTTCCCCCAAGCAGAGGCCCAGGTGAGTCCTTCCTGGGACCCTTCTAGGCCTCAGCAGGCTTCCGCTTGGGGAAAGCTGGTGCTCAAAGCTGGATTTAAGTCTGTGCTTTCACAGTGAGAAGTGCTCGTTCACAGTTCCCTTGTCTTTTGGTGGGAGATGACTTCTGAAGGTGCAGGAAAAGTATGTATTAGGATGCTTTGTTTTTGCTCTTCCAGAGGCTGGTTTTCTTCTGGTTCCTCTGTAGCCTTACCTGGTCCAAGTCCTAGCACCATGGATCCTGGAAGTGGAGATAAGGATAGAAACTCATCAGATAAATGGAGTCTTTTTGGTCCAAGACCCCTTCAGAAGTCTGATTCTGGTAGGCAGCTCTGTCAAAAAAGAAAGCAACATGGCAGGCATATTGCTGTACTATATTCTGGGCATGGACTATGGTTCTGCAGTCATTTATTCTCTGGTTTACTTTTGTAGGWGGTTTTACCATCCAGGCCTACAAAGGCGCCCAAAAGCTCTCTCCCATGGAGCTGATCCGTGCCCAGGCCACCCGAATGGCTGAAGATCCAGCAACCTTCAAACCACCCAAGATGGATGTCCCAGTGATAGAAGGGAAGAAACCACTGCCGCGGACCCATAATCTCAAACCGCGTGACTTGAATGTGCTCACACCCACTGGCTTCTAGAGTGTGTCTATTCCAGGGACTTGGGCTAGAGGGTTTCTTGTCCTTTATTCCCCTTTTACCTTAGCTCTGACATAGGAATGGTATATTAAAACAAACAAAACTGAGGTTAGAGGTGGAGACATAATTAATTCTGAGAAACATCAGTGCAAAGCTTGTCCTTGTGTGGAAGAAACCGTTTTGTAGTGTTTTAGAGTCAAACTAAAAAAAATCTCAGCAGTGATTTTGGGGGGAGGACTTCATTACCCTTTCTTATTTACCTCAGACCAGGACTTTGATCATTGCTTACTAGGTAAATGTTTATGCTATTCCAAAACCTAGGCTTCTTTTTACCACCATCAGCATAAACACACCATGGTGTAGAGGTGTCCGCTGACAAGTTTGGCCTTTTTGACTCCGCTGATGTCAGGTAGGGGGACCTAAGATCTAAGACCTGTTTAAGGTCTGGGTACAATTAACAGCCACACTTCGCAGGGACCCCTATTTTCTAGGCTAAAACTGGTCTCCTTGCTTTTTGGTCAGTCTAATGGATTGCTTTGTCCTGTAATCAGTTCATGCTTCTTGGTACCTCTTGAGCTGCTGCTGTTGGAGGGATGCTTCTCATTTACATGTCACAAAATAAACACTAGTCTTGCATATCCTTTCTTGCACTTTAAAGATTAAAGTAAGATTAGTTTAACTCCAATTTGGTTTAAACTTCCTAAAATAAGAAAATTAAGTTTATTGAATTGAGATATATTTTGTGATGCTGGGGATTGAATCCAGGGCCTTGTACATTCAAGGCAAGTGCTCTACCATTATTGAGCTATACCCCACCCCCTGCCCTAGGAGGTAAACTTTGAGTAAATGAAATTCATTTGAAATTAGTGTCAGTTATTTCAGTTTCTTTGTATAGGTCAGGGCTTAACTTTTTGGAGGGGACATGGATATATTCAAAATAAGAAAAGCATTTTTCACCAAAATGAGCCTCATATCTTTATGCAACATATCTTAGAAACTGCATTTTTATTTCTCCTCACTTTGTACATTTGTCTTGAACACTGTCTCAGATACTTGCCGTTTTTGTTTTGGTTAGGATTTTTGTTTACATAAGAAGCTGACCTTCTTATAGAGAAGCCTTTAAGTCTAAAATTGTCAGAACTAATTTATTTGCGTCTTCTCTGTTATGATCTTTTGTTTGGACAATAAAGATCCTTAYTGCTTTCTCAAATGTGGATATCTTTCTGTCCTGTTAATAATAGCCATTCTGCCTACCCAGTCATGGAACCTAAGCATGGTAAACTTGGTATTTTGAAAAACCATTGCCTTTTTATTGTATCCTTTTAACATCAAATGTTTTATAACACACTCTATCCTTTTGTTTCTTTGTCCCCTTTTGTTACATTAGATCTTAATAGACTGGCCACAAAGTCAAATTCATAGGCAATATATAAAAGGTCTAATAGAGAATGTTAGGAAAAACAAATGTTTTTCCAGAAACAGGCTCTCAGTTACTTGAATAACACTGACATATAGTTTGTTCAGAGGGATTCTTCTCTCACATCTTGAATGGAAATGTTAAACAGAGTGCATATAGTGTTACCTGTTTCAAAAAAAGTATAGATAAATAATTTATTAAAAAATATATACACCTTGTATATTTAAGCCATATTTGAGAATAGGCCAGGATAGGATTATCAAAAAAAGAGAGAGATGCTAAAGAGTCAAAGTGACTACAGCCTACAGATAAATAAGATATGTTTGGTCCTGCGAGATTTTTACTACTGTTCATACTTTCAGAGCTTCTAAGTAGAAGACAAGTTCAAGAGGTATTCTTGGTGCTCAGTGCTTAGAAGGCCCTTAGGGCTACTCTAGTGCTTCGGAGTGGGCTCTGTGTCAGGGTTCAAGTCCGCAGCATAGAAGAGCAGAAGCTTCAACAAGTGCACTTTGTCTTGCAGTTGAGGGACCAGGGGCTCCCCCAGCATCTGGATTAAGCGACTGCGGAAGGCCTCAATCTGCTTCTCCACATCCACCACTGTGATGTCATCTCCTTGTTGGGGCTTGGGCTTAATCCTTTTGATTATTAAGTCTTTTCGATCGATCACTGAACTCCGTAGGTGCTCTGCAAGAGGGAAGAAATTAGTGAAACTATACTGCTATTTATCATTAAAAAAACGAAGTCCAATATTAGGTAAATTCCTGTTGCTTAGTTACTGGAAGACAAGTCAAAAGGGTATGTAGATTACTATGGCAACCCCATTTCCAAAAGGTCCTGTATTGGTTTATTATCGTCAAGAAGGATTTTTTTTAACATATTAAAAAAATTGCATTCTTTTTATCTTTTTCCTTTTGATTTAAACCATAAGCCTACATGAAATTATATTTTAGATATTTCAAATTAATACACAAGACATTTTTGAGACAGGATTTCTCCTACAGTGGGGAGACCCCTCTCTGGGTGGTGAGGGGATACTAAAGTGGAAATTGAGGTGTCAGTATGAATATGTATAATAAATTTATAAAATTATGTAATTTACTGACGGTCGAAAAGCAGAGACACTCTAGTAGCAATCATAATTTAAATCCTAGCTTCCATACACATTCTCCACTAAAAGCAATCAAAAAAATTTTTTTTTTGAGAAAGACATTCTGAGACCAAGATAAGGTAACCTGGAACACCTTCTGTGAGAAAGGGAATGTTTAAAATTAATGGGGAGGGGCTGGGGTTGTGGCTTAGTGGTTGAGAGCTTGCCTTGCACGTGTGAGGCACTAGGTTTGATCCTCGGCACCACATAATATAAATAAAAGATAAAAAGATGATGGAGACCTGTCAAAAGCAACCTAAAGGAGGTTCTTATTGGCCAAATTTTGGACAATGTGATCAGAAAAAAGGATGCCAAAAAATGAATTATTTCAACACACTGAATTTTTAAAAAAGTCCTGAGTGCACAGTAGAAGTTTTTAAAGGGAGCCCTTTTTCCAGAAGAAGGTTAAGAAATGTAGAAGAAAGTAGAACTAGAAAGTTTGCCACTTTTCAAACTACTAATATGAGTCAAGTAAGAACCACAAATGGATGCTAAAACCAAGTGAAAGGCTGACAGGATATTCATAGTCTCAAAAGTTTCACTCTCTACTAATAACAAAGGGAAATTGGAGAAGTGACATACATACTACCTTAACCAACTATTGGGACCAAAATGAGAATGCCTTTTTTTTTTTTTATGGTACTAAAGATGAACCAAGTCTTGCACATGCTAGGTAAGCACTCTACCACTGAGCTGTGTCCCCAGCCCTTTTTATTTATTACTTTTTATCTTTGGTACCAGCAATTAAAGCAGGGGTGCTTAACTACTGAGCCACATCCCAACCCTTTTTGAAATATTKTATTTAGAGAAGGTCTTGCTGAGTTGTTTAGGTCCTTGCTAAATTGCTGAGGTTGGTTTTGAACCCGAAATCCTGTCTCAGCCTCCTGAGCTGCTGGGACTACAGGTGTGTACTACCGTGCCCAGCTTGCCCTTTCTATTTTGAGACAAGGTCTCACTAAGTTGCCCAGGCTAGTCTTGAATTTGTCATCATCCTGCCTGTTGGGAGCTGTTGAGATTATAGGTGTGTATGTGACTGCCCTGCATGACATTGCCTTTTGATGTCATGTGCTAGATTTCTTAGATTTTACTATTTTTATTATTTATTTTTTTTTGAGACAAGGTCTTGCTAAATTGCCCAGGCTGGACTCGAACTTGTGGGCCAGCTTTCTGAGCAGCTAGGATTACAGGTGTGCACCACCATGCTTGGCTTGCTAATAGATTTTTAACATGAATCTTTTTTTTTTTTTTTTATAAGAGTGTCCTGTGACGGTGCACTCTTTTTTTTTTTTTTTTTTTTTTTATTTATTTTTTAGTTCTCGGTGGACACAACATCTTTTGTTGGTATGTGGTGCTGAGGATCGAACCCGGGCCGCACGCATGCCAGGCGAGCGCGCTACCGCTTATTGTGAGAAGATATTAAGACAATCCCAATTACTGAACATTCTACAAAATAACTGGCCTCAACTCTTTAAAAATGCCTGTTGAGCTGGGCACTGTGATGCATGCCTGTAATCACAGCTACTCAGGAAGCTGAGGCAGGAGGATCATAATAAGTTCAAGGACAGCCTTAGCAACACAGTGAGGCCCTGTCTCAAACAAAACAAAACACAAAACAAAAAATAAGGCTGGGAATGTTGTGCAGTGGTTCAACCCCCACTACTCCACCCTCCCACCAAAAAAAAAAAAAAAAAAAAAATGGCTGTTATGAAGGACTAGTAAAGGCTGGGAACACTGTGATTTCAGAGATTGAAGGAGATCAAGAGTACGACTAACAAGTACAGTGCTTGATACTTGACTGGGTTCTGACTCAAAACCAAAGTAATCATCTAAATATGATATTATGGGACATTAGATAATATTCTATCAAGAATCAGTTTCTTGTGATAATTGTGAGTGTTGTGTAGAAGAATATCTTTGGAGATTCAAGCTGAAGGATTTAAGCAGGAATATGATAGTACAACTTATTTTCAACTGTCTCAGTTCTCTCTAGCCAAAGTGTAATCATTAAGCAATCATTAAGCCACCTGTGGCCACATGTTAACAGCTGGTGAGTCAAGAAAAAGGGTGTAGGGGGTGTTCATTATACTATTACTTTAAATTTTCTATAGGCCTGAAAATGAAAATACTAAGAAAAATAAGAAGTTATAAAGGTATCATTCCACATCCACAGGCCAGCTCTAATAGTTCTGGAAGTATGCGGAATTGAGACAAAGGAGTTCAGGGTCACATATAAAGCAAATGCACTGAAGAATTCTGAGGACTTTATCATGACTCCCAGATGCACCAAAGTAACTCCAGCATCATTTTCTCAGTCTCATTTATTTTATAAATAAGCATAATCCCAAAAGGACTGAATAGTGTTTGGAAATTGAGAAAAGAGAATAAACTTACTATTATTTTTTAGTACTAGGAATTAAATCCAGATGTGCTTTATCACAGAGCTACATCCCTAACCCTTTTTGTTTTGATACAGGGTCTTGCTAAATTGCTTAGGGCCTGGCTAAGTTGCTGAGGCTGGCCTTGACCTTGTGATTCTCCTGCCTCAGCCTTCGGAGGTTCTGGGATTTCAGGTGTGAGCCACCACACAGAGCATAGTAAGTTCATTTTAAGTAGTATATTTTGTTACATTTTCAATTAATAAGAAAGTTGTTGTTTCTCATCAACTTTCAGAAGAAAGCACTTAAAAGTCTAGATTTATACCAGTAAGTCTAATTATAGTCTGAAAAGGAAGTATAATAAATATATTACAGTGTGTCCAAGATCTGGAAATAGAAAACAATGTTGCTTTTAGATGTAATTATAGGGCCCTTTGAATATTTAAGCAACAAAAATTTACAGTGAGAACCTAGTTTCTGGAACTAGGCTAGACTGCAGGGACAGTGGAATCAGACCAGCTCTGTGCACTTACATTCTAGTCACAGGAATCCTGAGAAGGAATAAACCCACAAAAATAACTATAGATTGACATGAGTACAATTAAAGAAATAAATTGGATGCTGTGATAAAGAATAATAAGAGGGGTGGGATGGAATAAAGGTAAGCAGTCTACTCTAGCCAGGAAGGG